AGATTATTACATACATTAGGCATTTTTTGTTTGTTATTAAATATGCATGTTAAAAATAATTTATCTATATTTATATGTAAAATATAAGTAAATTAATTTTGAATCAAATAGCACTTATTTTGTAGGTAAATTAAAATAGTAGTTTCATTATTTTGGTAAAGTTAAACAGTGCATAAATTATTTTGTAAAAATTAAACCAAGACAAATTATCTCCATTAAAATAAAACAGTAGATATTCGACAAAAAAAATAAAAAGTAAAAATAAAATAGTAGATACATTATTTTCTTATAAGATTAAAAAATAGGTATATTATTTTCTTATAAGATTAAATTGTAGAAACATTATTTTCTTATAAGATTAAAAAATAGGTAAATTATTTTCTTATAAGATTAAAACAGTATCTTTATTTTCTTATAAGATTAAACAATAGGTAAATTATTTTGCACATATCATTATTTTCTTATATTATTATATAAAATATAGATAAATTTATTTTGAATCAAATAATATTTATTTTATTTTATATGTAAATTATTTTGCATGTATCATTACATACACATGACAAATTTATTACTAATACACATGTTAGATCCCACATTGCCCAGGGGAGTGGATCATGTAAGCCTTATATGTATATTCTCATCTCTACCTAGCACGAGGCATTTTGGGAGCTCACTGGCTTCGGGTTCCATCGGAACTCTGAAGTTAAGCGAGAAAGGGGCGAGAGCATTCCCATAATGGGTGACCCACTGGGAAGTTCTCGTCTGAGTTCCCAGAAACAAAACCGTGAGGGCGTGGTCGAGCCCCAAAGCGGACAATATCGTGCTACGGTGGAGTCAAGCCCGTGACGTGGTGGGGGCCCGGGCCAGGATGTGACAATTTGGTATCAGAGCCAATCCTGGCCGGAGGTGTGCCAACGAGGACGTCGGGCCCCTAAGGGGGGTGTATTGTTAGATCCCACATTGCCTAGGGGAGTGGGAGTGGATCCTATAAGCCTTATATGTATATTCTCATCTCTACCTAGCACGAGGCCTTTTGGGAGCTCACTGGCTTCGGGTTCCATCGGAACTCCGAAATTAAGCGAGAAAGGGACGAGAGCATTCCCATGATGGGTGACCCACTGGGAAGTTCTCGTGTGACTTCCCAAAAATAAAACCGTGAGGGCGTGGTCGAGGCCCAAAGCGGACAATATCGTGCTACGGTGGAGTCGAGCCTGGAATGTGGTGGGGCCTAGGCCGGGATGTGACACACATGTCCAAATAATTTACCTATATTTTTTAAATATAGGTAAATTATTTTATAATGCTCTTTTAGATTTTCATTTGGTAAGAAAATGACAAGATTAAATTAAAATTGTCTAATTTTATGCAAATTTGAAAAACAATTACGAAATCTTAAGGAAAGTATAACATTAGGGAAGTGTTATTGGCACTCCAAAAATCTTATTCTACACTCCTCACAAGTGTATTTTTCTTTCTAAAGATAGAAAGTTTGGAGTGTAGAATGAGAAATTTGGAGCGCTAATAACAATTCCCTAACATTATTAGTTCTTTTTTGCCTTAACATACAATTTGTTATGATATATTAATATGCAATGATTTTAAATTAATGCATTTTTTTTCCATTAATCTCTCCCTTTAAATCTGCATATAATTAAATGTCTACATTAAAATTGTAATTAGGGGTATTTTAGGCATCTGAAAAATAAAAAATATGTAAAGGCAAACAAAATTAATGAATTTGCTTATATAGAGCATAGTCATTGTTTTATTGAGATAAAAAAGTTATATTGGATTTTATGTAAAGAAACATGAGTTTCAGGAGCTAAAGTCATATTTTTAGAATAATTTAAAATGATTTCTGATCGCATGTTGTACGATAAAGGGACATAATTCACGGATTTCCGGTATCCTCACAAAGAGAATCCAATAGTAATGACATCGGTTTCATAGGCAGACTAATTAAGCTTTGTTTTCAACACCGATATCATTGCATCACCCATAGACGTTCGTCTCATAGGAGGACTAATTCAATGAAATGTATAAAATGGGTTTAATTAAAGGAAAACTAATAAAAATGGCTTGCAAACTTTGAGTTTTAACGATAAGAACAAAATAAAGGGCAAAGTAGATAGTACCATGATTAACTTTTTAGTCTAAAAATGTGATTTTTCTTTAAAGTGAATAGTACCAGGAGATTTTCGTTAAAGTTCCCTTAATTAAAGGAAAAATAACGAAAAGTTCAAAAAACCTACAGTTTTAATGAAAAATGACAACTAAAGGTATAGTGAATAGTATAAAAAAAAAGTAAAAACATGATCTTTCGTTAAAAATAAACAGTACCATAAATATTTCATTAAAACTCTTTTAATTAAAGTAGAAAATGGTATATTTTTACAGAGAATTATGGCTTCACAGATTCACGAGACGAGTGTCAGAAAGTGAAGACACTGAGGTATCCTTTCTTTTTAGGACACGTCGCTCCAGAAAGTTGTGAGACAGAAGAGCAGAGACTTATTCTGTAGGGAAAGAAGGCTTTCTTCTTCTTTTTCTTTTGTTTTTCAGAAGAAAAAATAATATAAAAATAAAAGAAGAGAGATACAATACAAGCTTTTTCCCAGAATCCGAGTTGCTCATTGGAGCAGTGAAAATTCGAGCGTTTCAATCCCTTCCCCTTTCCCTTTCCCTTTCCGTTTCCCACAAGTGTTTTTTCTTACATTTCTTTTTTGTCACTTTTCTGGTGGGAATCAGATTCTACCAAGGTGAGATGTGAGTTAATTCCTCGTTTACGTTATTATTTTACGAAAAATTTTATTTGAATTCATGTAATATCTTTTCACATTTAACTTAATCTCTTCACTTATATTATTTTTTTATTAAAGAATTAATATCTCTTTAAACCCAATTTTATTACTTAACCTATCATCTCAAACACAATTCAAAATGTTAAGTTATCTTTACCCGCATTCCCTTTATAAAATAACATATGTAATTGATTTTTTTTTTTAAAGAGATGCCCTTGCCCAACCCCCCTCCCCTCTTCCCACTAGCATTTCCGTAGCTTTTTCTTTTCTTTTCTTTCTGCTACCAAACTCCGACATTTGCCTTTTTTCTTTCTACTGATGTGCATAAGCAACAAAACAAACAATTCATCCCTTTATATTTATCAACAAGCAAGGAAGTTTATAATTTAAGAACATTGGTAAGAATTTTTTCCTTAGAATTTTCCAATTGCGGAAAGTTTAACAAACCATTGAGGATTGATGAAAAAAACTGAAACCCAAATACTCATCTTCTAAACTTTAAAAAAATTGAAATCAAATGAACAAAATATTCATAAATTAAGTTATACCTTAGTTGGAGGATTCAAAACTTCAAAATCACCATCCATCAATAAAAAGAAACTTGTTTTCTCTACAAGACTTATTAGGGTTTTAGCCAGAATGAACGTAGGATAAACAAGAAGTGATGATAGAGTTTAATGGGTTTATTGATAAATTTGAGTTTTATTATTAATTTCATTATGTACTTAATAGTAATTATGAAATAGGGTAAAATAGACAATTAACAATTTAAATTTAAGTTGGGTGTAGAAAGAGATTACATGGGTTCAATATCCCTTATTTTACCCTTCACTTTTTTTTTTTTTTTTTTTTTTTTGGATTTTCTGCTAGACGTAACTTCCTCAATTTATATTTTTCACTTGGGATTTGTGGCGCAAAACTCCTTCTCTGTCTTTATTGGGTTCAAAATATTTTAAAACCAAAGAATATTTTTGAACTAAGAATTTAAGGTTAACTATATTTTAGTTACACATTTCAGGTTTAAGGTCACGAAGTTTCTTTTCTTTTACATTGCACTATGGAGTTTTGAGATTGTGTCAACTTGTATGTCTGTTTAAATGTCTAATTAATTAGCTTTAGTTTTTGTCAGATTAACCTATATAAGTGTTTCTCGTTCTCACTATGCATCAAATTAATGAAAGATCAAAGAATCAATCAGATTGATTACATAAATTAGTAAAATTTCGATACTTTCTGAATTAATATAAGAAAACTAAAACTTCGTTTGCTATTTTGTATATTATCCCAAACATGAAAGGTGTTAAATTTTATTAGCTAAAATTTTTATTCGGTTATTCCCACCTAATTATTATAAATCACCAGTCTTCCGTACCTTCATGATTAACCACATTCGAATCCTTATTTTACATTCGAAAAATATCATGTGCCGATCATCAAGTAGTATTTGTTAAGTTTTGTAAAATTACTTGTTATTTTTCTTAAAATATGACATTCAACATTTTTTTTATGAGAATTTTAACGAAACATTTATGGTACTGTTTACTTTTAATAAAAATGATATTTTTACTTTAAAAAATTACTCCCGGTACTATTCACTTACAACATATTTTTGTCATTTTGATTAAAACTCAAAGTTTTCAAGTCATTTTCATTAATTTTTTTTATTTTTTTTATTTATAAAATGTGGATAAACATGACCTGTAAAATTAATGATTTATAATAAATTTGAGGACAAATCATTTAAAATAAAAGTCTAAGGGTTAAAATCAGAGAGTAAAGTAACTCAGTACTGCAGTCCGGTGGTATTCTTCTTCGCTTAGAAGCGACAGATCTTAGGTTCGAATCCCGTAGATGGCAAATTCGATACCAAATTAGGCTGCCCATTATATAACTTAACTGAACTCCTCATTCCCCTAGTATAAAAATATTGATGTACTAAAAAAAAGAAAAATCAAATCTTTTCACACACTCATTTTATGTTCTACACACCTATGTTAACTACACACCTATGTTAATTTTGTCTATCAATTTTTTTCAATTTATTCAATCTGACCTCATTTTACGTTCTACACACCTATGTTAATTTTATCTAGCAATTTTCTTCAATTCATTCAATCTGACAATAGGAAAATGAGAAAAGCGTGTGAGCGTTAAAAATGAGTGTTTTTTCCCAACATTTTTTTTTTACGTTTTCTAAAGATCTTATTCTTTATCAACTCTGTTTCACCGCTTTCCGCGACAAGGAAAGTACCTACTCAAAACTTCTGCTGGGTTTTAATCCCTTTTCACATTCAATCTCTCCATACCATTCCCCTCTATCTCTAAATTGAGAAAATGGGCAGAGCAACAAGGTGGCTCAAAGGCTTGTGTGGAATAAAGACCAAAGACAAACACCAAAAACCAAAGTCAACTTCCGGCGACTTCAAACACAAGAAAGGCTCCAGCTTTGGCAGAGAGGATGCAGAGGCAACCCTACTCTGTCACAACCCCGCCACCATTCCGCCCAACATTTCGCCGTCCGAGGCGGCCTGGCTGAGATCCTACTACACAGAAACAGAGCAGAAGCAGAACAAGCACGCAATTGCCGTGGCAGCCGCCACGGCTGCTGCTGCAGACGCCGCGGTTGCAGCTGCAAACGCGGCCGTGGAGGTCGTCCGCCTTACAAGTCACGGCAGAGGTACCATGTTCGGCGGCGGCAGAGAGAGATGGGCCGCTGTCAAAGTTCAAACTTGTTTCAGAGGCTATTTGGTAAGTGGGGTTTTGCTCTTTTTTTGAACAAAGTTTCTAACTTTTTGAAAAAGCACTTATTTCCGATTTTGGGTTTGTGAAAAACGCAGGCTAGAAAAGCTCTCAGAGCTCTGAAAGGATTGGTGAAGTTGCAGGCATTAGTGAGAGGCTACTTAGTGAGGAAGCAGGCGACTGCAACTCTCAACAGTATGCAAGCTCTGATTCGAGCTCAAGCAACTGTTCGTTCTCACAAAAATCGGGGGCTCTTCGGCATTGAATCGAACAACAGATTTGAAATCCGCGCACGACAATCCATGGTACTAATTACAACCGAATCCAAACTTTACGGTGCGTTGGAGACGCCTGAAAGACTTGCATTTGAAAATGGGAAACGATTTCCTCACAACCCTTTACGACCCCACACACGTTTATTTCCGTTCTTTGAATTGAATAAATCGAAGAACAGAAATAAACAGGAATATGCAGAATGAGAAAACGAATTTGTGGAAATAATTTCTCTTCCAAATTATAAATATTTCTGTTTTTTTCATTGGCTGTGTGAATAATTGAATGTTGCAGGAGAGATTTAATGACAGCAGGAGTGAGCAGACGGCTCCATCTCACAGCAGAAGGCTCTCTGCTTCTAATTTGGGAGACAACAATTTCAACAACACTGATGAAAACCCCAAGATTGTTGAGGTCGATACAGGCAGCAGGCCGAAATCCAGGTCCCGGAGAACAAACACTTGCTCTGCATCCGAATTCTCTGACGACCCGACTTACCAACAAGCATTGTCGTCCCCAATCCTGTGTCGGGGTACTCCTGCCCGGCTATCAATCCCCGACAGCCGGAACTACCAAGATTCTGACTGGGGGCTTTCCGTGGAGGAATGCAGGATGATCTCCACGGCGCAGAGCACGCCGCGGTTCATGAATTCGTGTGGCGGAGGGGCTAATAGCAATGCCACCGGCACGCCTTCGAAGAGTGTTTGTAATGAAGTTTTTTTTGGAGGATATGCGCCGAATTACATGGCGAGCACTCAGTCGTTCAAGGCGAAGTTGCGGTCGCACTCTGCTCCGAAACAGAGGCCAGAGCCAGGGCCGAAGAAGCGGCTTTCGCTCAACGAAATGTTGGATTCGAGGAATAGTTTGAGTGGGGTTAGGATGCAGAGGTCCTGCTCGCAAGTGCTGGACGCCATTGTTTTCAAAAATGCTGTGATTGGGAAGCTTGAGAGATCCTCTGGATTTTAGTAGTTGCATGCATGTAACGATCGAGAACAGGGGATATAATACTAGAAAATGTATTTGTAGATTCCAAAGTTAAGTGTTATTAATGTTATATTATAGTAGGATTTGAGCTGATTTTGATGTTGGGTTATAATGAATCATGATGGGGTTACGATTAATGTTAATTAATATATGAATCAAATGCTTGGAATTGTGTAATTATTATTGGGATTAAAGGAGTTTCGGTTTTTCTCTAATGAAAGATAGAAAACAAATTGTAAGTTTGGGTCCCTCACCCGTTAATGTTTTTAAAAAGGATAATACTAGGTAGATTAAATTTGTAGACTAATTTGAAAATTAAATGATGTGTCATCAATAAGAAATATGTGCGTTAATCAACATTTAAGTAATAATTCAATCATCAATTTTCATGTTATTTAGTTTACAAAATTTAGTCTTCCCAGCATTACCCATTCAAAAATGGTTTCGATTATTTATTTTTAGAGAGAGAAATGCTAAACAGACTCTCTCAAAAGTGGCACTTCTGCCACTTTATATTTTTTATACAATGTTTTATAATATTTACAGAATGAAAACAATAAAGTGGTGGAAGCAGTGGTAGTCATGGTTTGATGGCGGAGGTCAATGTAGTTGTTGAATGGCTCAATTTTTTGTGTTCTCTGAAAATGGTGAAAATGTTAATTTAACGTTTTTGGTGTTTTCACAATTATACCGTGAAGTCTGATCTAATTTCATTCTCAGAACGTTTTTCGTGTTTTAATAAAATGTGCACTTCATAGTTCACGCGCATCTCACTTGTTTTTTTAACTCAAAAAAATGAAAATGTGGCTCTAAATGCGTTATAATTATGAATATAAAAACTCAAATCATTGAATGTACAATCAAAATTGTCGTGACATGAAACTATCAATTGAAAATGTCCAAATCATTAGTTTCCAATCAATTATGCTTCAACTTACGAACATCATGAAACTGCGGCAAAGTGTTAAAAGAAACTTATCAAGTTACGTACAACTTTAAGACATATTCCCTGTCTACGAATAATACAAATTATCTGAAGAAAATCCAACCAAACTCATCACCCTTTTTACAAAAATGGAAAATGTTGACAATACAATTCCTCCACGTTACAATATATTTCACATGCACAATACAAAAATAACCATTTTGTATTGCTTATATGTCTCTTTAATCGTGTATTCTCTAAACGAAGGAAAAAATGCTGAAGCTTTTTCAAACTGGTACAATTATTGACCACAAAAACCAACAAAAATGGAAAAGGTTTGAACCATGAAGCATTATGTGTCCCATGTGTTTTTCCTACGTATGAGAATTTATTTTTGTTTGTTTGATCGTGTCAAACTCTGCTTAAAATATGACCCCACTTGTTTTTAATTTTGTGCGCCCTCTTCACTTACATGATGACTTATATGGCACGAATTCAGTGTTATTGTGGTGTTCTAGTTTACTAATACAAAGTCACATGTTAGCTTCTCTTCATATGCAATTATATTATCAGATTGAGAAGTCACGTGAATCTATTTTATTTAAATTGTTCTCCTGTTACAAAGATCAAAAGAAAATAAACTAACTACCACATTTCTTGGTTGCTAGAAAGTCTTTAATGTGAAGAAAGTTACCAAAACTTCTAGATGAATGTTGAATTTAGTCATGTTTTAACCATTTAACCTTCTAGATAATTGCTGTAGTGGGTTACATACTTCCATTTTGGCCAATATTTGAAAAGTCTGTTCTATTGTCCTTGTTTCTTCTCTACCGTCCTTATCAATTACTCGTTAGAAAAGACAAACAATCTCATGTGAATTTCAAGTTCCTTCACCGGCTCAAACTTTTCTAGAAAAGTTTTGGAAAAGAAGAATAATTAATAAATGAGTAATGCTTGAGAGACCGTTTATTTATACTATATTTTTATACTTTTTTGTGTAGTACATGATGCATACAATTAATATTCAATGAGATAAATTTATTAAATCATATGGAATGTATACATTACTTATCACATCAGATGGTACATAAATATAGTACAAAAATGTGGTCTTCCTAACATTTTCCTAAATAAATTTATGTATATTGTTTGTTTGTTTGTTTTTTGTCAAATGATAAATTTTGTTAAATTAGATGTTAGATTAATCACCGATGAGGTTCGAATTCACGTCATCATGCTAGGGGCTCAACACCTTTCCTTGTAATTGTTTGTTAAGTATCCACAAGACTGCAAGCAATTTATCAAACTGTTCCAAGTATGATCTTGGTCCTTGTAGTTTTAGCGAATTAACCTGTGTAAATTTACTAAAGTTGTTGTCTTTAAAGAGCATTTTCAACGGAATTAGCATGTGCTTTTTACATGAATTTACTCTCACACGTCAGTCGCAAGCTAATGATCTCGAAGAAATCATGGACAAAACTTCGGTATTTCTTGTTTGACAACGCAATATGTTACATAAAGGAGATTCGAACTTGAGTACAAGGTATGCGTAAAGAAAGTTGAGGCTCCACCCAAAGACGTATTGACAATTATGTGCAAGGTTTGGTAAACTTCTTCTAACATGAGAGATTTCTTCACATCCTCACAAAATGGACACAATATTATGTCCAATTGACCTAACCTATATATGCAATCTAAATCATTGTCCTAAAAATAGCAAGAGTTAGTAAACTGCTGGCAATTAAAACTAGGTGAACTAAGCCCTAAATCGAATCTGTCATTCGCTCAAACTACAGAGACTAAAATCAAAATTTTTGCCTTTTGAGGATTCCCTTTCGACTTGTCACAACGGGTACATGGACTGGAAGGCCGGAGCCACATTCTTTTCAATCTCTGTTGGTGCAGGTAAGTTTTGCAGAAACAAAGCTTTACTGGGACCAACGTCCTTTTGTTAGGGTTTTCATGAAAGGGAGCTTTCAAAGTCTGTTGTAGGTCAGGCAGAGAGCCTCAGCCCTCACAGAGAACAGAGGTTGAATGCTTCCCCTCCAATTCCAAATTTCCAAATACATTGGTAATTAAATGGCCCCCCTCTGAGTCTTTGGGGAAAGAATAATATAAAAAAGATAAAAAATCAAAAGTAAAAATGTGCGATGTATGAAAAAAAGAGGGTCTTCTTATAATTTATTCAGCAATTCTCAATTTACTATCATAAAATTTCTTGATTTTCAACATTCCATACATCAAGGTTTTTTTTCATTCTATTTTGGTACATAAAGTGATAATTCTGGGACACTTTCATACATATTCGTTAAGCTTTCATCGTTAAACCTATGATGTGACGCCTACGTGAATAATGACTAGGCGCCACATGTCAATCTGGGCCACATGGATATTGAAAAAATAAAAAATAAAACAGTTGTTAAATGTCACATCCCGGCCCGGGACGGATCACTTCCAGGGCCCGCTCCACCCCCGTAGCACGATATTGTCCGCTTTGGGCTTACCATTTCCTCACGGTAAGCCCATTCCCTCACGGTTTTGTTTTTGGAAACTCACGAGCAACTTCCCAGTGGGTCACCCATCATGGGATTGCTCTAGCCCCATTCTCGCTTAACTTCGAAGTTCCTATGGAACCCGAAGCCAGTGAGCTCCCAAAAGGCCTCGTGTTAGGTAGGGATGAGAATATACATATAAGGATCACTCCGCTGGGCGATGTGGGATGTCACAATCCACCCCCCCTTAGGGGCCCGACGTCCTCGTCGGCACACACGTGGCCAGGGTTAGGCTCTGATACCAAATTGTCACATTCCGGCCCGGCTCCACCCCCGTAGCACGATATTGTCCGCTTTGGGCTTACCATTCCCTCACGGTTTTGTTTTTGGGAACTCACGAGCAACTTCCCAGTGGGTCACCCATCATGGGATTGCTCTAGCCCCCTTCTCGCTTAACTTCGGAGTTCCTACAGAACCCGAAGCCAGTGAGCTCCCAAAAGGCCTCGTGCTAGGTAGGGATGAGAATATACATATACGGATCACTCTCCTGGGCGATGTGGGATGTCACATTAAAACATTTTGTTTTTTTAATATTCACGTGGCTAGATTAACACATGACGCCTAGTTATTGTCCACGTAGGTGTCACGTTACAGGTTAATGACTATTTTAACAGAAAGCTTAATGAATGTATGAAAATGTTTCAAAATTATCACTTTAGATACCAAACTGGAATAAAAAAAACTTGATGTATAAAGTGTTTAAAAAAAAAAAATTCAAGATGTTAAACCGAGAATTTTCTTAATTTATACGTCCAAGTTGTGTGACACGTATATGCCTTGTAGATTTTCACCCCAGTGACTTTAGTCAATTGAAAACCCATTAAGCTTATATAGGCTATGTAGCTCAAAATCCAAGTCCAACTGAATTTCCTACCAAAAGGAAAATGTAAAAAGTGTCTTGGAGGTTAAATCGGAGCCTTCCACCTCTAAGGCCTTAAAACCAACGGATGTGATGAGTGTTAAATCCCTCATGAGTTATGCGCAACCCATGCGCAGGGGAGAAATTATGTTGGATCTTTTCTTTTCTCATGCCAAATGCCAATATCATTCATGTGAGCCACATGTCAATATCGATCAATCATGTGATAAAATATTCTTAATAATACCTATGTGGTTAAGTATGTTTTCTATCGCGGTCTAAATTAAACGTTCTATTCAAGTTCTTTCAAATTTCGCTGATCTAAATGTGTTTTAAAGACATTTATGTTAGTTGGATCCTTAAATCAAGCTTAAATTTAGTCGTTTACTTCCAAGTGATGCATACATTGGTCCGAATAAGAGGAAATTTGGCGGAAAAGAACGATCTGGATCGAAGTTGTAAGGAACACAACCGTATGTGTACTATTTTGAAATTTCACCACAAGACTAGCATTTACACGTGACCTACGCCACATGATAATCCGCAATTTAGCCATTTTCTTATTACAATCATATTTTGGATCGGTAATACCTCATTTCTCTTTTCTTTTGTCTTAATTTCCTTCGTTACGAATTGGGAAGTTAAAGCAAGATTAATTCAATGTCCTTGCAATGAGCATATAGAAGCATTAGTTTTGACAAACGATAGCATTAGTAGATTAATTAATTAGTTGTTAGAGGAGAGTAGAATTGGTGGG